GGTGAGAGTCCATCTTCTCCTCGAGGTCCTGGCCTGGGGACCGCTGGGGTGTCCGGTTGTGATTCTTACCAGGCTTCTGCCGGTGCTCRCCACTCGCCCCGTGGAGCCTGGGCTGGGAGGGTGAGGCTGGGGGCCTTTGGATGTGCCCTCTCCCCCGGAAGATGGCCACGGAGGGGACAGTCAGCTCGGGCCCCCAGACTGGGCACCAGGTGAGCTGTCCCTCCCCTACAGGAAAGCGCTGTGCTGTTTGCCTCCTGGCCRGGGACACGGCCCGGGTCTCTGTGTCCTCCTCAGTGGAGCCGGTCATGGGCCAGGGGACACCCAGCACTGCATGCTCAGGCAGCCCATGTGGAGGTGGACCCTGGATGGCTCGGCCAGGGCCCAGGTGGGAGACAGACACCCACGCTGGCCCAGGAAGGGGGGACGGTGAGGCCCTCCCCACAGTGCGGCAGCTGGTGGTGCAGACGTGGAGCCAGGTGGGGGCCGAGCTCAGCTGGACACGCCAGTCCCTGACCTCACAGCAGCCTCCTGGGCAGGTGGGCCTCCTGTGTCCAACTGACAGAGGAGAACMCGGGGTCACCAGCCTGAGAGCCACCTGGCCTGCGGCTGCGGCCCTGACCTCTGGGCCTTCTCTCTGCACCGTCTTGAGAGGGGACTTGCCGCCCAGCCACAGAGGTCAGCAGGGCGCTTCGGTTGCGAAAGAGGAACCGGAACTTTGGAAGCCGCATTCTTATCTGCTCCCCTCGAGGGCTGTGCCCTGGTGACACTGCAGAGGGTCCAGCTCACCTGGTCACTCCCGGCCGGTTCTGAGGAGGCCTCCTCGTGGCGACCTTCTGACCCCGGGTCAGTGTGAGCTGGACCCTCCCCCAGTCCAGGCCCGAAGGCTCCACCCTCGCCCGGTTTCTCCGAGTGTCTGGCTCGCCGCTCCCTGTCACGGTCACTGGACTTAGCGCCCTCCCTGACCCAGCCTGACCCCTCTCCCCCAGCTGCACCTGCAGAGACCCCACGTCTGATCAAGCCCCCTCCCGAGGCTCCGGGTGAACCTGAGTCGGGGGACACTCTCTGGCCCAGTGCGACACCTTAGAATTGGGATGAGAGGACGGCCCAGTGGACATGCTGAAAGGGCAGGACCCCCCCAGGGAAGTGCTGGCACGTGGTGGTGCCACCAGCCTGGACGTGACTGTGACTGTGACTGTGGGTGGGAGGGAGTGGCCAGGAGAGAGGGACGGAGGGCGGATCCCGCGGGGCCCGGGTGACATCACCTGAGAGCCAGCGTGAGGCGGGTGGAGCAGGCTCCCTGGACGCCAGGCGCAGCTGGAGCTGGCAGAGCACCCTGCTGCTCTGTAGTGACGGAGAGGTTAGTGCCTCCRGGGGGACGGCAGGGGTGGCCTTGCCGTGGATCCCCAGGGCCTCTCCTCCCCGGAGCAGGTCMTGCCCTGGGCTGGCCTCCTGCATGGCCTGGCTGTGGGCCAGGGCCGGTGGCCACTATGCTGCCTGGGGCTCTGCCAGCCGCACCCAGCCCCTCCCTCAGCTCTCCTGGGCTGCCGGGCTTCTCTCGGGCCTCTGCYCCTCAGCCTGGCCCTGTCGCCCGCCCCGCCCTGCGCCTTCCTTTGGTTTTTCTCTGTGGCTGAGGCGGCCTGAGTGCTCCGCGCTGCTCCTGGTCCCTGTCTTCTTCCCTGGCAGGCCCAGCCCATCCTGCTCCCCAGGAGCGTCCAAGAGGGCCCTCTGTCCTCTTGTTGTAAATCCCCTGGCTCCTGGGGTCTCCTGCTTCGCACAGGTTGAGTCAGCTTAGACAATCATTCCTGCAAAGACCGGTCACCGCTGCGTCTCTGTTGCTGGGACCCAGGGACCCTGCCTGTTGTCTGTCCCGGTGTCCCAGCATGCATGGCCTGGGGACAGCAGCTGCCACTGTCCTGCAGAGACGGATATCTCTGAGGGCAAGGTGGGTCTGTGCCCTGAGGCTGGGGACTCAGTGACAGTGACTGGGCTATTTGGGAGTGGCCGCCTCATCTGTACAGGAAGTGAAGATATCACGGAGCCACAGCCCACACCAGCACTGCCACCACCTGCAAGCCACCGCCCAAGGCTCACTCAGGCAGCCGTGTTCTGTGCCTCCGATGGGCCCAGCTATTGATCATGGGTGGACACATGACCCAAGGGCAGCGGGTCACTGGCACCAGCAGGTGAGCTGAGCCAATCAAATCTCTCTCAGGAATTTGAATTAAGAAACTTTAGCTGGGTGTGGTGGCKCACGCCTGCAATCCCAGCGGCTCCGGAGGCTGAGGCAGGAGGATGGCAAGTGCAAAGCCAGCCTCAGCAAAAGTGAGGAGCTAAGCAACTCAGTGAGGTCCTGTCTCTAAATAAAAGACAACAAGGCTGGGATGCGGCTCAGTGGTTGTGTGCCCGTGAGTTCAAGCTCCAGTACCAAAAAGGAAAAAGAAAAGAAACCTCGAGCAAATAAGGCAGATGACAGTAGGACTGACGTTGGTCCCCRAGGCAGGGCCTGGCCACAGAGCACAGGTCGAAGGCTCCCTTGGTGCTCCTCATTCATGGCAGGCACATTCCCACCCCAGGACCTTTGCATGGGCTTTTCCCTCTGGGATGCACTTCCTGGGGCTGCATGGCTCATTCACTGTCTTCTTGGTCTTTGAATGCCAYCCTTCCAGTGAGGTGTGCTCTGCCCGCCCCCTACCACTTACACTCACGACACTTGACCCCTKGTTAGTTCTGGCTGGCTTTCCGCCCTCCTTAGGACACGGAGCTGCTACTCGATGTGCGACACGGGCCCAGGCCGTGGAGCCAAGGAACCCTGGGTTCAATCCCAGCCCCAGCACTTCCTAGCTGCACACCCTGGGTGAGGGGACCAGGGTCCCAGCTCCGTCTCAGTCAGGGTCCGCCCCAGGCCCCAGTGGAGGCCAAGCTCAATGCAGGTGCAAGGGCTGAGAGGGGCCGACGGCCTCCAGCCTGCACCTCCTGTCCAGAGGGAAAGCCTTGGTGTCTGCGTCTTCCAGAGGACCAAGCGTTCAAGTTCAAGTCCCTCTGGCCAGTAAGCCACCGCTCGCTCGCCTGTCCTGGGACAGTGAGGCCAGGCTCCCAGGGACCGGCGCCCAGCCTGCCCATCCCGGAGGCCACTCACCCGCCACGACAGCCCGCCACGCAGCTCGAGCCTCCGCCCCCCTCTGTTGTCCCATCTGCAGAGGAGGAAACAGGTCACAGAGGGGAAGGGGAGGCCCATGGCACAGCCCGGGGGTGCAGGGACCAGACCCGGAGCCTTGCAGAGCAGTGACAACGGCAACGGCGGACCCCTCAGGTGACAGCCACTGGGCTTCGCCGCCTGCCAGGCTCCAATCCCACGCTCAACAGGCACAGCGAGCCCAGGCTGTGTCCAGGGGGCCAGAAGCTCACCGCTGCCCCTCCTGTCCCCAAAGGAGCTGTCACCCCTCTAAGTGGCTCAGGGGCTCACGGTTGCCTGGCCCACCCCTGCCAGGTGCTTCTGAAGGGATCCCACACCCGGCTGTCACCCCCCGTCCCAGGGCAGGGGCAGGGGCAGGGGCAGGGGGAGGGGCCACTTAGCTGAGCTCTGCCCAGAGCCTGGCAAGGCCGCCTTCTGGCTATCAGTGCCCCTGAACCCGCCCAGAGACCCCCCCAGAGACCCACCCAAGAGGCCACTGTGGGGGGACAGCGTCTTCAGTGGGGAGGGACGGGCAGGAGGGGCTGAGCTCACTGAGCAGCTTCCCAGCTCCGGGCCAGGGGTGGCAGAAGCAGAGCAGGAATAACGCGRCCCAGGGACAGGCTGGCACGGGGAGGGGCACTCAGGCCATCTGGGGGTCTCCCGGGCGCTCGGTGCCACCTCCCCTCTCCTTTCCAGTCATGGCGGCTGCAGGTGTCTGGAGCCGTGAAGTGGGGGAGAGAGAGAGGGGGCGAGTCTGGGTCACATTAATCTCTTGTTACAGTTTGGACAAAACATTTCTCAAAAGTTCAAYGTGTCTCCAGGCAGAGCCGAGCCCAACTGAGCCAAAGGTTAAGGCAGCAAAGGGGAGGAAGGAGGCCAAGACTGCCTCCCGCTCCAGTCACCAGGGGACGTCTGCAGCCCAAGTGCAGTCAGCGTCCTCAGCAAAATCAGCCCTCGGTCCCTGAGCAGTAACCGAGCCAGCTCTGTCATCATGACCCACAAGTCAGAGGTCATCTACAGCAAACCAAGGGGACGCTGGCCATGCACGGCCTGTGACCTCCAGAATCGGTCATTTAAAGCCAATGAAGAGCAAGTGCAGCTGGAGGCTCTGCTCAGGTCCTCCTGGTGACCGTGTGTGCAGACCCCTTCCCACACACACCAGGCCTCTCCTACCATCTTGCCAGCTGTTGGCCGGGACTGCTCTCAGCTTCCAGAGGTGGCTCACAGGTCCTGGCCACGTGGACCCGTCCTCAGGCCTGTCCACTCTGCCTCTCAGCAGGGCACAATCCCTTTAGAGCTCACCTGCGCAGGCCAGGCCCCAGGCCATCTCCCCTAGATGACCCTCAGGCGGGCAACTGACTTCTGCGTGGGAGTGTCTCTACACCCAGGAACGGCATTCCACAGAGCGCCTCCTCCAGGAGGGTCCCGGAGTCATCTCAGCCTCCCTCGAACCAGGCATGGCGGGGCGGGCCTCTTCTGCCCTGTGAGGAGAGGCAAGGGCTCTCTTGGGCGGGACTCCCAGCTACAAYGCCTCAGGAAGGAAACTTAGCAAGAGGCTCCGGCCCTTTCCAAGGGCTTCCTTCAGCCATCTTTGGGAATTCTCCTAATCCTGGACACTGTCTGGGAATCAAGGGTGGATTCACATCCTTGTGGCTGAAGCTTTCGTCACAGAGGGAGTCAGCGTATGGATAAGGGTGCTTTCTGTCATGAGTGAGTGACACAAAACCTGACTCAATGGGCCTTCGAAAAATTTCTGTGTAACTGAAATGCTCTTGGTTACCTGGCTTCAGGCACAGCTGGATCCAGGGCTTCCAACACTGATATCCTTTCTGCCGCTTCTGGCTCTGCCTTCTCCAGGCGTGCCTGGCAGCTCATGGTTTACCTCCCACCTCTCCTTCCAACAGAAACTGAGATTATTTCTTCCCAACAGTTTCCCTCAATTGCYAAGGCAGTGGGTTAGGGTCGTGTTCCACCCCTGAACCAGCCACTGAGCCCAGGGACGGCATAGAGATGGACCTGAGTCACATGTCTGCCCTGGGGCTTGGGATTCCAGTGGGACTGGTGGAGGGTCCTCTTGGACATGTGGAGTTTCCAGACGTGGGAATGCACGGGCCGTGTGGGGGTAGAGAAGCTCCCAGGTACAGATGGCAGTGCTCCAGGTGCAGGCAGCAGTGCTCCCAGGTGCAGACAAGTAGTGCTCCAGGTGCAGGCAGCAGTGCTCCCAGGTGCAGACAAGTAGTGCTCTGGGTGCAGACAAGCAGTGCTCCAGGTGCAGGCAGCAGTGCTCCAGGTACAGACAGCAGTGCTCCCAGATGCAGTCAAGCAGTGCTCCARGTGCAGACAGCAGTGCTCCGGGTGCAGACAGCAGTGCTCCGGGTGCAGACAAGCAGTGCTCCASGTGCAGACAGCAGTGCTCCAGGTACAGACAGCAGTGCTCTGGGTGCAGACAAGCAGTGCTCCCAGGTGCAGACAAGCAGTGCTCCCAGGTGCAGACAGCAGTGCTCCGGGTAGAGACAGCAGTGTTCTCAGCTAGGGAGAGAAGACCAGCATCGTGGCACTCCCCCCTCCCCGCCCACACCACCGGGGAGAGGACAGCGAGGGGAGGTCCTGGAGCTGGGGCACTGGCTAAGGGGAAGGGGGATTCAAAGCCCCTTCCAGAGGAGGGTGATGGAAAGGAGAGAGGGCCCCGGGAAGAGGGGGACTCCTAGTCTGGAAGGGAGGCTGGYCAGGTCTGCCCGTGATTAGCGTGGGCAGCAGGGCCTGCTCCCAGCAGCACTGGGCCATGCAGGCCCAGCCTCAGGGCCTCCAGCCTGGCCAGAGCCTGCAGATCTGCCCTGCTTCAGGCCCTATGCAAGGAGGCTTCATTGGGTGACCAGTGTGGGCCAGAGACCAGGGCATCCGGAATGTTCCACCTGGGCAGAGCCTGGGTTTTCATGTTCCCTGGGCAGAGGGGCAGGAGGGCCCGTGTACGACTGTGGCCAGTGCCCAGAGAGCATGTGAATGTTCTGGTCCAGCAGCCCTGAGTGTCCAATGGGCACCGTGGAGCACTGACTGCCGCTTCTGAGCCCAGGGCCCTGGGCCTGCCCGGGCCACGCTGTGAGGCCAGCCCAGACCCAACGGGGAGCCCAGCTTTCCCTGGGAAGTAGAATTTCATCCCACTTAGAGAAACCCAGCCTCGTGGCGCCTCCTGCCTACAGGGTCTTGATTAGGCATCCGAGCAGCCCAGGGCTGTGCTGTCTGTCACGGGGGTGCTTCCCCTGGGCCCCGCCCTCCCGGGCTGCAGTAAAAGGAGAGCCCAGCTGATCTGTGCCAGAGGTGGGATTGCTGGGCCCACAGCCCTCGCTTCAAGAGAAGAAAACGAACGAGACCTAGATCTGGGTTTGAAGTCTTCGATTGTCATTGATCAGCTTTGCGACTCCAGGGCAGTGGTTCCTATCTGACCCTCAGGTTCTTCCTCTGTAGAGTGTGTGTGTTCACAGTGGCATGTCAGAGAGCCATCGCTAGGTTAGCTGAGCCCGTGCAGTGCTGGTGGGCACCTCACTGTTCACTGTGACTGTTAGAGGAGTTCTGCGAGGGGTGGGGTACGCTCCAGGGAGGCACCTTCCATCTGTGGTCACTCTGTCATCTGGACATGGTGTGAGTGGGCCTGGTCTTCATCCATGGCCACCTTGTCTGGCTCGGGTGGGGTGAAGAGTTAACCCTCACTTCATCCCCCCCTCCTCCTGCCACCTGCCTCCCCAGCCACCAGCCCCTGGCAGCTGACCCCATGTCCCCAGCCAGGCTCCCTTTGCTTTGTTCTGAGGGCTACCTCTTTCCCTGCCCCTTGCAAAGGCTGCCGGCAAGTCCCAGGTGTGACTTGGGCAAGTGCCCTCCCTGAGTCTGTGGGCCTTGGGCCAGTCCTGCTGGTGGCCACTGGCCAGAGGTGTCCAGGGCTGTCCTGGGAACCCGTCCCCAAGCTACAGTTTCTGCCCAGTGCTGGCTCCACCCTGCAGCATGGTTAGGGCGAGGGCAGGATGCACAGTGCCCATCCACTGCCCAGAAGGGCCAGCCCTGCTTGGGAGCGGATTGTCTTCCAGACCACAGGGTCCTTTGTRCCCCACTGTGAGGGTCTGTCCATGGCTGGCTGCCTGCCACCAATCGGTTTATCTCCCTGACCTGCCTGGTGACAACCTGACTTTTCCCAGAGCTCCCTCTCCATCTCTCCGTGCCTCTCCTGATAAAGCTGTGGGCCACTCTGACCTCTAGATCCATTTGAACTTTGACCAAGGAGGAACCCTGGAGAGGTGGGGGRCAGGCTGCTAGGCAGAGGCGTCTGTCGATAGTGGTTTCTGAATGGTGCTCTCTGAAGGCAGACGCTCAGAGCCCGGCTGGTTTGTGGGCTGGTGATTCAGGAAGCACAAGGGGCCCCAGAGTCTGCAGAAATCTAGGCTGCTGTTTCTGTCTCCCTCGGTGGGTCTACACATAGCTAGCATCAGGACTGTCCTGGGCCTGGGCCTATGTCCCCTTATGGCCTCGCCTGGGCCTCAGGGTTGCCTCCCAGGGGACTTGAGGGGCTGACTGCACCAGGGTCTCTGGGATGTGCCTCGGGGAGCCTTGTAAAGCCACTAAGACCATTTCTTTGCTGCAAAGAGGAAGGTGCTGATTAGGAACCTGAGCCGCAGAGGCCTCATGCCCAGCTGCAGGGACACCGTGGGTTCCTGCACATAGTGGGGTCCTGACACAGGGGCCCCAGGATTTCTCCTTGGAGGGAAACAGGCTTCTCAGACTTGGGGAGGCCCCTCACGCCTGGGAGCTCTTACCTTCAGAGCCCAGAGGTCCCCAGCAGCCCGAGGTCCTCCGTGCCTGACCACCCCGCATGGCCCTGATGCGGCTGGTTGGCGGATGGTGCTTGGAGCGAGGCTGCCCATGCGTCCCTGCAGGGGGAGGGCATGGGGGCTGCTGCTGCGGGTCACCCAGGGCTTCTCCTGGAAGATTCCTAGCCATGCACCTTGGAGGTAGGAGGGTGAGAGCAGCTGTCCAGCAAGTCCCCAGGGCCCTGTGCATCTCAGGGGGTTCCCTTGACCAAGTGTCCTCTCCCCTTGGTGCTGAGAGGCCCAAGGAGACAGGCTGGAAGCTTCTGTGGCGTCTGGTCCTAGGAGCTCTGGCGGGGGGCTTGCCCTGCAGTGGGAGAAGCGGGCACTCAGGCCCGACTGGAAGGAGTAGGCCCCAATCCCAGCCCCACCACTCAGGGCCTCAGACCCTCAATTTCYTCCTCTTAAATGTGGGCTAAAGCCAGTTCTTGTGCAGTGGGGTGGTGCAGGAGCAGAGGGGAAGCTCAGACTCTGTGGGTTTCCTGATATTCCATCTCCCAGAGGTAGCCCAGGACTCAAGGGTGCCTCACCACTGAGCGACATCTCCAGTCATTTTTATCTTACTTTTTGAGACAGGCTGATACTAAGTTGCTGAGGTTCTCACTCAGTCGCCCAGACTGGCCTCCAACTGGCAACCCTCCTGCCTTAGCCTCCTGAGTGTGGAAAGTCAGGCATGGCCACCGAGCCTGGATAGGGCTGCATCTTCCCTGTGGGAGGGTGTGTGGCTACACATCTCCTGCGGTCGCAGAGCCGTGGATTCAGCACACAGCAGGGATTCCCGAGCTCGAGTCTGAGTAGGGTGGTGAGGACCGTGAACACTGTGAAGACTGTCACAGGATGTGGGCTCTTGAAACCTGGAAGTGTGACCTGACTCGGGGAAAGTGCCCTTGAAAATGTAATTAAGATCTTGAGATGAAACCATCCTGGATTAAGGTGGGCCGCAAGCCCAAGGCCAGCGTCCCTGGGAGAGAAGAGAAGGGAAGCGACAGAGGAGGAGGAGGTGTGAAGTCCTCACGGAGGCCAGGGCCGTGCGGAGGCCAGGGCTGTGTGGCCACGAGCCGCGAAAGCCCAGAGCGTCCAGAAACTGGGGGGGGCAGGAAGGATCCTCCCGCTGGGGCTTGAGGAGGGAGTGTGACCCTGTGCCACCTTGATTTTGGCACCTGAGGGAGCGTGTTTCAACAACCTGGCCCCTGGTGGGGGTTTTTCTGTGGCAGACGTGGGAAAGGACCACGGGAGCCAGGGTGGTGAGGACGGTTTTCCTTCAGCCAAGCCGTGTTCATCTCCCCCCTGAGCGGCCAGGCGGGGTTCAGGCAGCCACGCCCCTCAGCCACGCCCCTCCACCCATGCCCCTCCACCCACGCCCCAGCCACGCCCCTCAGCCACGCCCCTCCACCCATGCCCCTCCACCCACGCCCCAGCCACGCCCCTCAGCCACGCCCCTCCAGCCACGCCCCTCCAGCCACGCCCCTCCAGCCACGCCCCCTTCGCCCGGGCTTCCTCAGGACCGAGTTCCTGATGGGTGCAGCCCCCCGCTTTGCCCTGTTGCGACAGGGTTTCGAGGAAGCGTTTCTGACACCCTGCAACCTGACTTGGCCAATTTCCTTGCTGAAACCAGACCTGGTCCCCGGCACGGAGCCCAGTGCCCTGTCGACACGGGCTCGGGCGGTGGAGCGGGCAGCGCTGGGGTGTGGTCCCGGGCACTCGGGGCACGTCCAGAGGCCTTTCTGTTCTCTCGGGCAGGGAGCCAGCGAGGGGAATTCTCAGCATATTTGGGGGAATGTGGCTGAGACATCCCTGGGGAGAAGGTGGGTTAAGAACCATTCTGCATGGACCCCTGCCTGTCGTGATGGCCGAGGGTCACGAGAAGCCAGGCCACCGCTCAGAGGTCCCCCTGATGCATCCGCGGAGGCGGTGCTGTGCTGGAAGGACAGCGGGACWGTGTTGGCCTCTGGGGCTCCCTGGGGCTGAGCCCACTGCTCCCGGTTCCAAGGACATTCTAGGTGGGTGGGACTCCCCCTGGTAAGGGCTTCGAGGGTAGGTTTGGGGGATTAGCACCCTGACCAGCCGCCCCCCATGCTGGAAGGACCCCTGTTTCCCATCAGTCGCAACGTGTCCTTTGGTTCTGGGACCAGCAGACCAGAGCTGGGGTTTCCCATAGGCCGAGGGGGTTCCTGGTCCCTTACACCAGGTCCCCTGCTCTATATTTTCCACTCTGCCCCTGGCATTCATACCCCCTGGGCGGGTCTCCCTCCCTCTGGGCCCAGGCGCTCAGAGGGCTCAGACAGACACCTTCATGTTCTTACCTGCCAAGAGCGAATGTCGCAATCAGATGGTGTTCAGAAAGCCGTGTGTGCTTGTTTGGGGTGTGGTGTGTGTGCTGGGCGCGGCTGGCCTAGGTGACCGCTACCCGCTGCCACCTGCCAGGTCACAGTGACAATGGATTTCAGTTGCCAGTTGGCAAACACGGGAGCCTATCGAGCCAGGGCTTGCGTCCCTGCTGCCGGGTACCACTGTCCCCAGGGCTGCGCTCTGAGTCAACCTTGCCTGGCTGCTGGCTGGGTTTCCCTGCCCACTCTCCTTGCTCATCAAACCCATGTCACACCAGCCTAGTGGCACGTGCAGCCCTGGCAGCTCCCCAGTCCTCCTGGCCCCAGGGGTCCTCCTGGTCCCTGGGGCACTGGCTCATCTGGCCTTTGCTTTTCAGGGGACAGGACCCGGACTCTAAAGCCCTGTGAGGGGCTTCTACATGTATCACCTCATTTAATGCCCACAGTATCCCTGCCAGGTGGTGGTGTGGCTCAGGTCAACAGGGAAATTGATGTCCCCAGAGCTCAGGCGGCTGCCCAGAGCCACACAGCCTGCCTGGGGCAGAAGGAGGACTTTGACACCGCCGTGTGTTCCTCGGGGCCACACAGCCTCTCCAGATCCCTGTGAGCAGGGCTGGAGTTAGGGGAGGGCAGACAGGCCTTCTCCTCAGGACCAGACAACTCGGCCCAGGAGAAACACTGCTGGAATACCAAAAAAAAGTCCAGGGTGTTCCCACACCACGCAGCCCCGCCAGCCCTCTCCGCGCCCCCCAGGCCCAGTTCCAGAAGCATGTTGGTTTCGAACAGCTGGGCGCAGGCCAAAGTGGGAAGATTCCAGTCTCCAAGGTGTGCGTGGATCCTCCCACCCCCAATTTCTATTAAGGTAGGGTCCAGTGGGCAGGGAAGTGGAGAAGAGGGCCAGCACCCTGGTGCTGACCACAGCACCCCCAGGGCATGGCTGGGAGCCCAGGCAGCTCTGGCCTACGCTGGCCTGCGGGACCCAGGTATGGAGAAGGCTGGTGCGACCCAGGCCTCACCAGTGAGTGGACCTGTATCCATATCTGGTCCCAGTTTAGTAACCCCTGGTTATTAAGTGCTGGACTGTCCCAGTACGTCCCAACCAAGTCTCATTTAGTCCTAACAACTTCTGGCTTTCAACCAGTCATTTTCTTCCCAGGGGACACGGGTGACATCCGCAGACACTTTGGGTTGTCGTCCTGGGGAGGGAGCTGCTGGCATCTTAGGAGGGCACAGGGAAGCCATAAATCCCTGCACTGCGTTGGACAGCCGCCCAGGCCTGCAGCAGGGTCACCTCTTGGACGTCAGAAGTGCTGAGGCCAGGCCCCCTGCACGGCCAGGGTGCCATCACTGTCACGGTCCCTGTTTGTCAGGGGAGAGACTGGGGTTTAGCGAGGGGAAGTTCCAGAATGACCACCCAGAGGTGGGTGGCAGGGCCATGTCAGCCCCCTCGGAGGGTCACTGTGAGAGGAGCAGAGGTCATCAGTCAGCCAGCTTCTTACAAAGCCCCTGCTCTGTGTTACATGCTGGGATTATTTCAGGCATTGGCATCCAGCAGGTACTCCATAAATGCTGCTGGTGCTCATAACAGGGGAGGATGAGGCTAGTTCACTGCCCAGAGGTGCATAATGGCCCTTTTCAGTGACTTGGTTTCCATTTGGACGCCAGCTGTCCTTGCTGGACCGACTGGCGACGCTTCCCTGTCCCTGGTGCCCAGCTCAGGGCCTTGCTGCAGACCGGGCTGCCCTGGGGCGTCCCTGGAGGCCTGAGCTCCCAGCCAGGCCCATCTGCTGCTGTGGGGGTTAGCATCTTGCCCAGGTGCTGTCTGCAAACCTCCATTTGGGGGACAGGCACAGGGCTGAGGACACAGCCCCCTGTGGGCCACACAGCCGGAGGCCCAGCCACACTCCGGCGTGCTCACCCCAAAGACTGGCTTGTTGTTGTTGGAAGTTCCGATGAACCGGGTGCCCTGCATTTTCCTGGGAGGGTGCTTTCTGCCCCTGTAGTATTTTGTGTACGCTTTAATGAAGAGGGGAAGCCACGTGCGGAGAAGTGCACAACACTAAAGGGCCCAGATGTGTGACAAACACGCCAGGTCACCATCATCAGCTGGAGGGGAGGGTGACCCTAGGAGTCCTCTGTGCCCTGCTGGCCTCCCTGACACTCGAGGGCAACAGCTGTCCTTCTTTCAACTCCACACTCCAGCTCTTCCCACTCTGGATGACCACAGTGTGTTCCGATTGGGCTTCCACTCACGCTGGGTGAAGAAGTAAGTGTCCCAGTGGCCAGTGCCTTACCTGTTCTCAGCAGCCTAGAACATGCCGTCATCTGAGATGCCGCCATTTGGATGTCCCTCCAGACCCGGTTGGTGGACATTTGGATGGTTTTCTGATCTGGGCATGTCACAAATAAGCTGCTCAAAGCACTCTCACATGATCCCCCCAAACTTCATCCCAGCCTCTGGTCCCGTGGGACGTCCAGTGGCTCATCGTGGCCTTGTAGTGGGTCAAGGACCCAGACGGTCTCCCAGCACACAGTAGGTGCTCAACGCCCCCTGGGGAGTGAAAGAGCACCAGTCCCTCTCTCCCCGGGCATCTCGAGTCGGGGCTCYCCTGGGACAGTGCCCACTGAGGGTCAAAGCCTCGGGGCCTGAGGACTCCAACAATTGCCAGGCAGATGTTAGGGAAATGGGGTCCTTGGGCTCTGGGGGGGGACCTCTGTCCTCCCCACAGGCTGCCTGTCTGCGGCCTCCCACCTGCACTCAGTGTCCTATTTATAGGGAGCCGCGGGCTGCCCCCACTCTCCCCAGACAGTCTCCAGTGGGGACATTCCTGGGGCTTCTCAGATGCCTCGCCACCCTCTCCCGCTCAGGGATGCACGAGGAGGGATTCCAAGCCCAGCACAACCTGGCTGTCCAGACCCTTGCCCTCAGTCCATAAAAATAGCCTGCTCTGGCTATTCTGGGTTATGGAAAACCACAGAGAGACAGACTGTTCTCAGGGAGACCAAGAGGGGAGCCCAGAGCCGCGACACCCGAGGGTGGACAGAGGCCCACAGGCAGAMCCCACTGCAGGGGGATCCCCTGCAGATAGGAGAGTCTACAAACTTCAAATTAGCAGCCTGTGYGCAGGAGCAGCGGGAGTGAGGGCAGGCGAGTCCCGGGGCTGCCTCCTGTCCACCATCTGGGCTGCTGGCCTGTCTGGCCCGAAGGTCAGTGAGCTGCGGCCTGCATGGCTTGACTCCTGCTGGGCGGGCCTGGTGGCTTGACAAGGTCTTGGCAGGAACACACTGCACCACAGTGGGGCAGCCAAGAGCGGTCACACTGCGTGTGGACCATGAGGAGGCCGAGGCCGGCACACACCCTACTGTCCGGCAGAGGGCTTCCCTTGATGGGAACGGCTCCCCCAGAGAAGCCCAGTCCCTCGGAGTCTCTCTTTTTCTCTGTTAAAACAGTGTTGAAAGCTAATTTGAGAAGAAAGAAGGCGGTACAGCCCTGCGGTGGCCCAGCTGCATCCACGCTGCCTGTCCCTTCCCACAGTGTGAGCTCCGCCCACTGCACCACCTGTCCTTCCCAGTGTGAGCTCCTCCCACMGCTGCCCATCAAGTGGCCTCAAGTGCCAGGAGGAGCAAGGACCTTGCCAAGGTGCACGGGCAGTGGTGGTGGCCACTGCCTGCAGACACGCAGAGCTCTCCGCAGGGCTCCCTGCAGGGCTGACCAGGGCGCGCAGTGGCCGTAGTTCCGCATCCTAGGCTCCACCGTCTTGCTCCGACCAGCCAGCCTCGGCCCCCCAACTTGATAAATGGGGCCAGTGACAATCTCACAGCCGGTTGTGTGGGCCCAGGGTGATGCGGGGAGGGTCCACACTGGGAGCTGAGCTGCCCCGTGGGGTGCGTATCTTCCCTGTGTCCCCGCAGCCCATTTCTTGGTCATTTTAATCCCATTTGTACCCCGGGGCTCTGCAGTCCTGTGCCCACTCCTTCTGTCCCCCTCCTCAGGTGAGCCTCTTGGGAGCAGCGTGAGTGCCACAGGCCTGGCCTCAAGGTCCAGCGGCCAGCATGGTCAGTGCCAGGCTGTCTGAGGACCACGCCACTGAGGGTGTGGTCTCTGTGAAACCCCCACAGCTGTCCCCAGGGTCCCGGTGCCTGGCTCCACTGCCCTTCTGGACAAGGAGCCTGTGTGTGCAGAGGTGTGGCCCAGCCCCTGTGGCCGAGGGCTGCCCTTCCAAGATCAGAGAGGCCCAGTGCCCTGGGTGTGAAGGGACGGGCGAGGCTGGCTTCCTTCTTATCCCACCCACCCCATGGTCACCCCCYGGCTGTCACAAGCGGCAGCAGTTTG